GGGAACATGGACTGTTGAACTGGTGAACTGAATTAAACAGGATGCCAGGGGTGAGGAAGCCAGTCAGGCTGACTGGACTAGTCCTGGCAAGACTGAAAAACTACTCAATTCACTACAGAAATTGGGGCAACAGGGATTGTATCACAACATAAATTGTGATATGTTAGGTAATAGAATTATATCTAAAATGCTAAACACAATTACTCAAAACAGGCCAACTTGAATTAGGCTGTTACTTAAAGAGGAGTCTGACAGCCAACAATTCCAAGGTATATAATCTCGCTGGGGTAAGGCACTACCTAAGCCAAATAAATATTGGAGTCACCCATGTACCGTTCACTACACAAGACCCTAAAGAAATATATAGCATATTTTGCATTTTAATTAAGTTTATAATCTTATCAGGAACATAAAATACTACAAATGAGTATAAGCTCTAAAAGGATGCTTATTTAAGTTCAATAAAAATATATAATTCAAATAGTAACTGGGAAAGAGACATGTTAAAGGTCAATGCTAACCGGCCCTCAGGTGCAACCTATAATAATGCCTTTTGTTCACCTCCAGGGCTGGTTTAATCTCAGTACACAGTCACTACAGAGGATCCCTTAATATTGCTGGTGTCAAGGTACAAGGACATGGAGGGCTTCTGTTATTGGGAGAGAAAGAACATGATTGTATAAAGGAAACACTGAAGACAACTGAATCAGCAGTACCAGGAGACATTTTTCTAACGGGAATTTATATGATCGAAAGGGAAAGAACAGGGAAGGCTGGCAAGCATCCATAAGTGAAGCGACACAGAAAGCCAGAAATATGGCCCAATGATATGACAGTAAACTGGAGTTCCGAAGTCAATAAGGGAAATTAAATACAAACCACTATTAACAAATAAATAAATAATTCAGACAGCTGTCCATTTCCCTGCCCTTGTCTGTCTCCTTAGTCCCATATCAAGGAGAAACCAAGCACAGACAAATGGATGATCACTTATGTAGAACAATTTGCAGGAAGGCAATCTCCCCTGGGTAAGTAATGGTTTTTGTCAGACAGGTGCTAACAGGCTGATTCCACTCTTTAGTGGCAGGTGCCTCTTAAGGAGAGGTCAGCTTCTTTGAATGTGAGTGAGTAGATTCTGGTGTTTTAAAATCTGAATCTTGAGTTTTCAAAACCAAAGCCTTTCCAAAGCTCCAAGTTTACCAACTTCTGAATGCAGAGTAAGTGAGAGTGTCTCAGTTATTATTATACTCTGGGCCTGAGACAAAACTCAAGCTTTGCCCTACTTTGGCTAAACAAACTTATAAGACATACGCCTAAACATCTAATTTATAAAAATACTTATTCTAAAATGTGGCAAAATGAGTTTTTGCAAATAGGGAAATGATTTGGTAGCATCTGACTTTATTTTTAATGACAGTGATAGGGACAGAAGATTTAAACACTATGGTTTAACTGAGAGTTGGCCTAGTTGCCATCTCACAAAAGAACTACGTTATAAATCCAAACTTGTCTCACCCTTCTGTGCAAGGTATCTAATCCTTTGTAATCCTGAATTCTTGCTGGGTCATGTGACATTACCCAGGTACTGTTTCTCTCTATCTCCTTGTTCTCTTAAACAATAAGTCCCCACAAAACAAACTTTAAGATATATTTTTAAAGTTTTACTGAAATAATTGCACTGAATTTTAGTTGTCCATCTAAAATCCTTGTAATTATAAAGTAGTGGAGATAATTACAAAAGAGCATAGAATGAATAATTTTCATTTAAGAAGTCATTACTTTCAATCTTTATAATGTCCCACTTAAAAGAGTCAGAAATAAGAATCAACCCATCAAGTACTAATTCTATTAATGGTGCTTAAACATAAAAGGTGAAAAAACTTGTTACTAAGTAGTACTTCATTATGTGATTTCTGTCTCCTTATGAAATTAGCAGAGGAAATAAAATTGTTATCATTTTTGGAAAAGGCCATAGTCTGAGGTTCAGATTATGGTTTTTCCATTACTTTTGACAAGCCATTAAAATTTATATTCATTTCTTATACTTTTACTGCTGCAATTTATTGACTGCTTGGCAGGATATGATGATGTAAAGGGGAAATTTCAGAAGAATGTGCCTTTCTGTATTAGAAGAGAGGAAAAGAAATCTACTTAGAAAGTGACCAGAATATTAAAGATAAAAGGTTGAAACCAACTGCTCATTCCTGCTTCGTATTACTTACAATAAAGAACCATAATTATTTTTCTAATTTTCAAAGAAACTCCCTCACTAATTCCATCATTTCAAACACACACATAAGATGAAGTTACATTGAATTTAACATGAAATAGGCATGTATGTCATCCAATGCCCATTTTTCCAATGCCTTTGTCTTTTTTCTCAATCATAGGCATACCACATCCTTATTCAATAACAAATATAATTTAGAAGGCATTAACATACAATGAAATTATGTAAAATAACAATGTTTATTAAGCACTTAGTATTTGCCATGCACTGAGCTAAACATAGATATCTAAAAACATGACTTTAATACTCATGATAGACTATTCTATGAGGTAATAATACTGGTATTTTCATTTTACATACAGATAAGGAAACTGAGGTTTAGCAAAATTAAGTTGCCACCCAGTTATTAAGTGATAAAATCAAATAACATAATGAAGTATTTGAGGGTAACCATAATTAGGAGCAAGACTGATTCTCTCCAAAGCTGGAAATAGGTCTGGTCAGATACTGTGTGGAAGGTTCTGGTCTTATCTTGCTGCACGGAGTTAGTAGACTTTACAATAGTAGTAGCAGTACCCTTCAATCATTAAAGAGTAAATAATTGTTACTTATGTTCTAAACCTTTAGGTAGTTTCATGCAAATAAACACTTCATAATAAGAACCAGGAGTCAAATGAATTATGGGAGGGAGGAACAAGAGGATATTTGTTTTAAGAAAATCTAAAAAAACCATAGAGATTCCCAGGAGAGGCACCACTGGCACTTGTGAATATGTATGTGTGTGTGTGTAGGGGACAATTCATTTTTTGTTATACAACGCTGTTACATCCATACACTTAGTATCCTCTAACACGCCCCACCCCCACCCACCTACCCCATACTGGAAGTTCTCTCAATTCTTGTGCTAACCCTGACTGAGAACCTTGATTGGTTGGTTCTCAAACTGAGAGAGAAATAACTGTTACTAGTTGTACATTGTGTACCAGGTAATCTGCTAAATGCATTCACACACATTCATTTAGTCCTCATAACCCCATATGAGGTAAGTACATATTTGATTCTCATTTTACAAGTGTGGTCCCTGAAGCTCAGAGCAAGGTTAAAACTTAACAAAGGACACACAGCCAATTTTGGAACCAATAGTCTAGCTTCAAAACTATACTAATCTAGGTTGGTCTTTTAAGCCATAATGGTGAGGTAGGTGTGACGTTCTTTAAAAGGTTCATTCAGAAAATAAAATTCCTTCTAAAATTCCTACCTCTTTAAAATTCCTACTTTCTTTAAAAGGTTCATTCAGAAAATAAAATTCCTTCTAAAATTCCTACCGAAAATTCCTACCAGGGTGTGTATGTTGTTATGAACCAAAGGTGAATTAGTTCCCTGAGCTGGGGATGAGAGCCACCGGCCACTGAATACTGGTCACAAATGCAGTGCAACAGTTACCTGAAGTGTGTTCAAGGGTTGGGCTGGGCAACTCCTATGAATAGGTATATGTTAGAAGTGATTTGAATGTGTGTGTATGTTTTGAGGAGCTTAAGAAAGTTCTGCAGGCCAGGAGCGGTAGTTCACACCTATAATCCCAGCACTTTGGGAGGCTGAGGTGAGAGGATTGCCTGAGCCCATGGGTTCGAGACCAACCCGGGCAACTTGGTGAGACCTCATCTCTACAATAAATCAAGAAAAATTAATCAGGTGCAGTGGCTTGCGCCTGGAATTCCAGCTACTTGGAAGGCTGAAGCAGAAGGATTGCTTGAGCCCAGCTGGTCAAGGCCGCGGTGGCCATGAGCATGCCACTGCACTTCAGCCTGGGCGACAGAGTGAGACTCCAACTCAAAAAAAAAAAAAAGTAAGTTGTGCAATGTTGTGTGAGATTTCTGTTTCACTTGTTTTATAGCATTTACTATGCACCAAACACCATTAAAATTGCTTGACAAGATCTCACTTTAGCTTGTATGATAAGTGATGGGTGTGCACCGTGTGATGTGTGGTGAGCTGGTGTCTGTGCAGAAAGGTACACAGAAGGTGACGGATACCGGCCTTTGCTGGAGAGTAAAGGTTCACTGTGATGTGTGGGTGTAGGGCTGCAATGTGTGTTGCGAGACAAATAGAAGTGGTATGAGGCTGGGGGAAGGGTTATACTAGATAATTGTGTGCAATGCATATGGGGGGTGAGGCACAGGAAAGACTGTGTAGTGCCCCTCATATGTGCATTTTTTTGTGCCTTACAGGTAGTGTTGAATACCGAAGAAGTTCCACAGGAAGAGATGTGGGTTGTGTCCTGGGCCTGTGTATGGTGCGTGCAGACGCTGTGGGTTGGAGTGTTTTATGGGTGTAGCGGTGTGTGCTGAAAGTGGTGCATACGAGATGATTCATGCGGTGTGCTGGGTAGGGACGGGGGCTGGAGCGGCTGCAAAGGAGGGGCCCGTGTCGTGATGTTGTGTAGAGCGAGGCTCAGTGCAGTGGGGGTGGGGGGTCGGCGCGACCGTGCTAGGTGACTCGTGTGTGATCCTGGAGTCACCGGAGGCGTTGCATAGAAGTGGCATTGGGAAGTGGGGAGGTGGGAATGGGGGAGTAGGCAGGGCGCGCTGCGAGGCACTGGGCGGGTTGGAGAAGCTGCGTGGGCGGCGGATCTGCGAGTGTGTTAGTGGAGCACCCAGCCCGCTTTCGCACCCCGGAGCCACGCCGGGCCACCCTCCCCGCCACTGCCTTCCTCTCGCCTCTCCCCTTGGTCCCGGCGCGCCCTCCCCCTCGCACGGCCGGGCCGCCTCACCTGGTGAAGGCGAAATACATGAGGCTGACGATGGTGAAACTGAGCAGGGTGATGGTGTGAGGCCGGTAGAAGAAGTCAATGGTGATGTCCTCCACTTGCTGCTCGTTGATCATCCGGAAATGCATCTTGTAGTTCACATCGTCCTTGCTCAGGGTCCGGCTCCCCACGCAGGACGCCATGGCCCGCCTCCCCGTCCTGCCGCGGCGCCGGCGGCCCCAGCCCGCGGAGGCTGGGACCCCGGGGGTGACAAGCCGCAGGGTTCAGCAGCCGGACGGCGAGGCCGGATCTGGCGCCCAGCAAAGGCTGGGAGCGAAGGGAAGAACAGGCGCGGGAAGGCGGGGTCGAGACGCCGCCAACGCGGCTTCGGGCAGGGGGTGCCGCCGGCGGGCCCCAAGCTGGAGCTCGGGCAGAGGCATCTATAGACGCTCAGACTGCTTCTCACTGTAAGTCCACGAGGATTCAGGGAGAGATGAGCG